TACATGCGTCACGATGAGTACCTGCCGCTACATTTATTTCCAACTGCCCGTGCATATGTCTCGTCTTTCGTTCCCCAAGGATCGCTCTTCCCGGTTATCCACCTCAAGCCTGAGCACCCACAATCACAATACCTTAGTCCGATCGTTTTATTATTATTATTATTTTTGTCGAGGGTATCGGAGGAGACAGAGTCCTTCCTTCCCGAACGTTCGCCGAGACTCCTCGAATGCATCGAATCGATTGGCGCTACTGATCAGGCCTACCAACGTTGCCGACCGGGCATGCCAAGGATCGCACAGGTATTTCTGTACAAGACAGAGGGAGTGACTGAGTGCACGAGAGAGAGAGAGAGAGAGAGAGAGAGAGACAGACAGACAGACAGACAGACAGAGTCCAGAAAAGGAAAAGGAACAATTTTTAAATTTTCTCCGACTTTTTATACTTTGTTTTTAGCTGTCTTATGTTATCTTATTACACTACATACGAATCCTATAAAATCCCCGATACTGACTAATTAATGCTTTACATCTTCATTTGTAGTAGATAATAAGACAGCAAATCATACAATTTAAAAGAAGTTACATTTTCTAAATGCTACATTCATTTAACAAACCGTCGATATTAATTATATTGAAATTAATTTCATGATAAAGTATTGACAAATAATTATTAACAATTGATATATAAAGATAATCAATAAAATAATTATAAACTTATGCTTACACACGCTTATAGATATATCAAATAATATCTGACATTTTAGTGAAATATATATTTACGTGTTTTTTACGTGTTTGTATTAAAAAATACTTCAATAATTCAATACATCCGTTTTCAAAGCTATGTTTTACTATTAACTATATTAAAAATTAAAGTTAATTATAGAATTTACTTAATTTAAGTTTGTTTAGAACAAAAATTTTGGGAATTTGGGTATTTATTCCCAATTTATAAAAGCTAAAATTTAATAACAATTCAATAATAATTTATAATTATTTTCCAATATAAGGATAATTAAGCATGTATTAAGTAAACGACTAAATTCTTCGCGCTGCCTTAAAACATTTATTTGAATTAGAATTTTTATTTTGATTATAATTAAACAATAAATTTCAATAATATTTTAGACAAAAGTAAATAAATACACTCTTTTCTCCATAGTTGTAACATTTTTTATTGAAAAATTATCGTACGAACAATTTAATTAATTGACTATTTATTATATTATAAAATTGATGATGTAACAACCAATAAATACTCTGATATATATATCTTTCGAAAAAATTCTTTCTAAATACTAGTAACAAACTAACGATTCGTTTTATGTTTATAAATATATTAAACTTAACAATAAGACTATAGTAGTTATAATTTGCTGAAAGTGCAAATAATAATAAAAGCGATGAATTTAAATATAAACAGGAATATAACGTAAGAAACAAATGCAATAGAAAGCATATATTTTCTTCATTATGATATTTGCAACGCAAACATTTCACATTTCCTTCATCTATTAATTTTTTCCTTCCATCGTTCACATAAATTTTTATATTTTGGAAAAATTTTTAATACATTATTTGCAATTAGATTTTTCTTTGATTTGCTATTAATTTGTGTTAATTTTTTATTAAAGATACTATTTATATAGACATACAATAATATATATTCATAATATCAAAAATTTTATAGAAATATATATATCGTGCAATTGAAAAGGATTTCAGCCATATAGCAGGTACATAAAAATATAAAATGTTAGACAATAGCGCAAAAAATATTATATAAATAACACTGATAACAGCAAACCATTAAAAGATTTATAAAAAATAAATATTCCTTAACTGAAGGGATTAAGTTTTTATTTCAATACAAGTATTTAAAATACGAAAAGCAATAATCCATGCCGTAATCGTGATCCGTGTTTACTCAATTATTTAGAACTTGGAGTTGACTGTATCACGTGGAATTCTTGCAACATTAGGTGAAAGTATTAAGATTATTGTATAATCCCTGAAGATAAAACTCATGGATAATTTACTAATAATTAACTACTATTAACTATTACACAGAATTAACTATTACAATTATTACAATTAACTATTATTAATACTACAATATTTAACTTTAAATTGTTAGACGAAGATGAAGGACTTATTAAATAAGGCGCAGTCGTTGATTATAAAAATAATGATTCATGACAAAATGGTTACATTGTCATCAGCTAGGTAAATCAACCTACCGAACGTGTACCAAAGCTACGCTAATCCTCTAGATAATAACTAATAATCCTTATCAGTATGTGACCTCGTCAGCTATTAGATAAAGGAATTATAAAATTAAAAATAATTTAAATAATTTAAAAAGTTCAATATAACATTGAAACAACAAAGATTTGTAAGCTCGTCTAGAGTCTAGTCATTTTCATTTATAACATATAAAAATAATTTAGAATTGGATAGAATTTTCATGCATTGACTCTAATTAAATTTTTCTAATATTAATAATTATTCAGCTTTGATATTTAATTTGTTTACAATATATGACATTAATTTTAATAATTGTAGAAAATTTTTCCATAAATAATTAAAGCAATTATAAATTATTTTATACTAATTGCCTATGTATGAAAGTATAAAAGCACATTGTGAACGTAATAAACTGATTAGTAAGTGTATTCAACAATCTTATATAACGTGAATCTTACATGAATTATTATATATAAAAAAAATAAATAATAGTCATGGAAAATTGATTAATTATTATTATGCGAATGAATAAATAAAACTAAACTACTCAACTATTGCAGTAATGTTCACTAATTCATAAACTTATTTGTATGACTTTAATGTATAGCAATGATTTTATCACTTGGTACATTAATTAATGCGCATAATAATTTATGTATCATTCCTTATCAATTTAGCCGTGTTATTATTAAAGATAAAACAAGTTATTTTAAAGGGATTTCAATGGTTTAGTGCTGTGTAATCAAAGTATATTTGGTACTTAAGCAATTGTACTTACAATTTAATAGGACTCAAAAATGAAATAAATAATTTTAAACTTTAGGAAATGATGAAGCAATAAATTTTTCATTATGTGAATGTTGCACCCAAGATTGAATTGTAATTTTTTCATTTTTTAATTGAATATTACAATTCTTATTTGGTCTTGTAAAAAAGCATATAGTATAAAGAGCTATGTCAAACTCTGGTAATGTTCCAATAAACATTGACGATGATTTAGTTTTATTTAAATAGTTAAAGTACAATTCTGCTACAACTGCTTTCTAAAAAATACATTATTAATTGAAAATACAAAAGCTGACAAATAGCTGCACAAATACTTTACAAATACTTACATTATCTATTCGTTTATTGTTGATATATCCTAAATAATTCACTTTTTCATTCGACTCTTCGATTGCAAAAAAAATCCAATTATGTAAACCTATAATACGACGATCTTTTCTCTGTTCTACTAAAAATACATGCTCAAAGCCAGAACTTCCTAAGCTAGTATGATTAGATCTGGAGTACAAACCGAACCATATTTTCTTTATGATTTGTTTGTATGTATCTAAATTTTTTCTAAAATAACCTTTTGTGGCTAAAAAATTCATTGTATTTGCCATAATCTTAGTATCGAGTAAGCTATTAATAAAAGCATTTTCCTCTATGTTTTCCTCTACTGTCATATCTTCTGCATGATTAGAATATATATTGTAATTGTCATATAATTTATATATTAATTGTAATATTGGAAAAGATTCAAAAAATTCTTTTGGTATTGTAAATAAACTATAAAATGAAAGTCAAATATTAAAAACAGACTTTTTCTTATTATAAAATCAATAATACATGTAAAAGCTTAAATTCCAAAAATGTTCAAATTAATAATTTACATTCTCAACAATGAACTTTTTCTAAAAAAATAAAAACTAAATAAACAAATATTTAAAAAGTACTATCATTTTTTTACTACACTTTCTAATATTATACTATGTTAATTGATATTACAGGTTAGTTTCAATTCTTGCTTAACTAATTGAAATTTTTGTAATTGAAGATACATGTTTACATGCTAAATAAAATATGTTTATTACGGGAATAGACATTCATCTTTTGTACTTTTAGAATACTTTTTTACTTGAAAATTAAGATTGAGTGAATGTAAAATATTAGGAAGCTCATCAAAAAGTTGCTCGGATATGTTCTTTAATTCTTTATTAGATACTAATGGATATTGTTTTCTAGTAACAATAAAATTGTTATTATTATTTTGATGATAATTGTCACCTATTAATTTGTATAGAAATATAATCAAAATTTAGATTATAATTATTCATAATCACTTTAGATATTTATTAATTATTCTGACCTGTCATGATATACGGTACAAACAAATATATGAGATAGTATGATGTACATCTTATCGTTAACATTATAAAACAGTCAAATATCTAATAGTATACAGTTTATATTAATTTTTCCGTAATAATTACTCGTTGTACACATTAATTAATATTTATATACATATTTTTCACTCATAATAAAAATAATTTCAAATTGACCTTGCTTTCCGCATTTGAATTCTAAAATATAAAATGTAAAAAGTTAGATAAATATATATATATATATATATATATATATATATATATATATATATATATACAAAGGTGATATGTAAACAAGAAATTTAGATACTTTAGTATATGAGAATGTGGTAAATGTAAACAGAAAAAATACATTCCATCGACATCTTTTTATTATATGTAAGTGAAATAAATTAATTATTTAATACTTCCGTGATATTTTTTATCTTTCTAAATATCATTACGATTTAATTTAAAATTACAAACTTCACAATTGTACTAACCTTAAAGAAAATTATGTTTGAATCAATACTGAGTACACGAAATAATATTTTATATAATTATTTTATGAAAAATGTTGCTTGAAACATGTTCTTTAGTTTAACAATATAAGAATTAAAATAAATGAATCAATGGAGATGTTAAAAAAAAATTTATTAAATTCGCATTCGAACAGAAAATATCAGTAAATGAAATGGAATTGGATAATCCAACACCCGAGGATTTACAACGAAAATTATATTTTTTAATGGAACAGCTGCAACATATGGCGGGTGAACTTCCTCCAAAATATCAAATGCGCTTACCTTATGAATTGTTGTCTGGACTTGCAAATAGTTTATTAAACGATACTATTTTTGAAATTGTGAAAGGTTTAATGGAAATTCAACATGTTACAGAAAAGCATTTATTTCAACAGCGATTACAATTAATTAATCAACAGCAAATTGAAATTCAACAAGTATTATCAAATATTCGAGTAGATGATGAAAAGGAATCAGTAAAACAGTCATTATTTCAAAAGCACAGAGAGGAATTAAAACAACAAGACATGAAATTAGTGATGCAATTGGATCAAAAAGTAGCTGATCAACAAAGCATCTTAGAAAAAGCTGGTGTACCTGGTTTTTATGTAACAAACAACCCAATGGACATTCAAGTTCAAATGAGACTATGTGATTTTATAATACGACTTAGTAAAATGGAAGTTCCTAGATAGCTAAAATTTAAAAAATATATGTAAATAATATATGGTTTATTTATATATTTTTATTAACACACATTATTTTCTGTTCATAAGAATTATGTTATATAAACATAATATTCATTTGGATTTATAAAATATTTTATTATAAACTTGAATTTATAGTAAGTACTAGAAAACTATTAAATGAATACGAATTTTTATTAAATTAAATCCTTAAAGTCAAACGTTATATAATTAATATAATTTAAAAGTATCCATCAATAGAGTTACTAAATACTTTTATTTATATAAAATCTATAATCTACATATATTTCATTATATTAATAAAATTAAACTATATCAATCATACTATTTTATACTCAAAGAAAAGATAAAGATAAAGATAAAGATACATTTACAAAATAACAAATGGTCTCTTAAAAACACAATGACGATGGATATACATATTTACAATGTCTTATATTTGTTTATAAAAAAATATATCATTACATTTTTTAAGAAATAATAAATTTCTAATCTATGAATTATTGTGTATATTAAATACTAATTTATAAATAACAATATTGAAAACGAAATGATATATTTATTTTTTTGACGACAATTTAAAAGTATATTCAATAATTATTTAAATATTAATTTTAAACTTGTATAATTATTTTACGTACATTAAAAAAAAAAATTTTTTAGAAAAAAAAAAAAAAAAAAAAAAAAAAAAAAAAAATGTATATTAATGTATTTAATTGAATAAAAAATATATAAAACTATAACTTCGTAATTTCTATAATATTCGATAAATTAAGAATAAAAAAAAAAATAATAAAAAATTAAACAAATTTTATTACCCAATAAAGCAATATAGAAGTACTTATTAAAACTTAAATTAAATGAAAATATTAAATAATCCAATGACGATCTTTATGCATAAAGTGGTTTCTGTAATTTAGAATCAAAGCTTGTTATTAAATCATCATTTTGCTTCATAGAAGATAAATGACTATCGTTATCAGCGAAACATATCCTGTAAATATCGTTAAAATTGTTAACAAAGTGAACTTCAAGTCCGTCTGTGATATATTTCGGCAAATCTTCAAAATCTTTCTTGTTTTCTTCAGGTAGTATTATACATTTTACTCCCACGCGTTTGGCCTAAAATAAAATTTTATTATTTTTATTGAGAATTATGTAATGATGCCAAAACTATATTTTATCATAAGGTCTGATATTATATAAATCGATATAATACAATTAATTTGTTTATTTTAACAATTTCTCTACTATCTCTACTAGTTTATTTATTAGTATGTTAGTTCTTAACGAATTTCATATGAGAATTTTATAATACAATAATCCATAATAATACTATAATACTAAATGTCGGCAATAATGTAACGCTTGTTGGTTAAATACACTATTATATTATTAAGCATAATATTGCACTTAAAATATGTTATATAAATTAAATTTACAATATACGTATTGTAATAGAAGCCAGTGTTTTGTTACATATAAATAACGAAAAACCGGCTTCGTGCGTGAAAAATGTCGAAATAACGTTTTACTCACCGCAATGGTCTTCTCCTTAATGCCACCGACAGGCAAGACTTTACCCATCAGACTCAATTCGCCAGTCATTGCGATGTCCTGACGTATGGCTTTATTTCTCGCAAGTGACAAGAAAGCTGTTGCTATAGTCGCACCTGCGCTCGGTCCGTCTTTGCGTGTCGCACCCTCGGGTATGTGAATGTGCAAATGAGCGTCATTCAGTAAAGTGTTGGTGGGTTCAATTTTCTGTATGTAGTTTCGAGCCACAGTCATGGCTATTCTAATCGACTCTTTCATCACATCTCCCAAGTGACCGGTTATCTTAATGTATTAAAGTAAGATAACAATTACGATAAATGCCTTATTCCTTATTCTTTAGGCTCGAATGTGTGTGAAAATATTTTTCAAAAAAAAAATTGAATAACCGTAAGCATTTAAGCATACAATTATCATTAAATTAAATAGATGCTAATCAACGATAAAATTCAATACCTGGAAGGTGCCTTCGTTTTTCTTAGATATCAGATTTGGTTTGCTTAGCGTTGTTTCGATGAAGAGTGTGGAGCCACCCATGGCCGTCCAGGCAAGTCCCATCACAACTCCTGGTGGCGTAACTTCATACATCCTATCGTGCGTAAATATTGGTTTGCCCACGAAGTCTATCAAGTTGTTGGTGGTTACGTCCAGCTTCTCGGCTTCTTTCTTGATTACCTTGAAGGCAACCTTGCGATGAACCTTCTCGATATGCTTCTGCAGATTCCTCACCCCGGATTCACGACAGTAGGACTTTATGAGGACACTCAAGGCGTTGTCGTCGATGTGAATTTGGTTATTCGAGAGGCCACATTCTTTCATTGATTGGGGCACAAGATATTGCTTGGCGATTGCAAGCTTCTCTTCGGCCACGTAGCCCGACATGTCGATCATTTCCATACGATCGCGCAGCGGCTCGGGAATAGTATCGATTACGTTGGCAGTGCAGATAAAAAGAACCTTTGACAAATCCACTGCCACATCCAGGTAGTGATCAAGAAAGTTTGCATTCTGCTCTGGATCGAGCATCTCGAGAAGAGCTGACGATGGATCACCTTGATGGCCTCTACGATGTTTCATAATATTCAACATGATATAATGTACAAGAATATTTAATTATAGTTTTCTTATATTTTTATGATATTATTATAATGCTAATAGTCACTATAATTAGTAATCTAAATATTTATGTACAATTACTCTCAATTATCGTTTTATTATTTCATTGAATCGAAAATTATACATCGTTATGAAGATACATACTCAATTATAATGTATTTAATAAGATGAATTGTAAAAATAAACATCCTAATCATCATTTACATAAAATGACATATTTATATAAATAATAAATAAACATAATAAATATTTACATACATTATTATTCATAAAAATTTTAATTAAATAAGGACAATATTTTTGTAACACGTAACATAACTATTATATAAATTTATATTTATATATTATATGAAAAACTACACATTAGTCGTAAAAAATATTTGTATTTTAAATTTTATGCAATGTTTTCTACATAATTCTATTTCTATATTAATAATTTATTTTAAATACTATAATTTTCTAATATTTATAACAATTGAAATGTATTGATTAATTGTTACAAAATTTTGAAATAGAATATACTTTTCTAAATAGTATTTTTTTCTAGGTTAAGTAAATAATTTATCAAATTTATTCATTGAAAAGTTCTAACAAGACTAATAGCATTTATAACATGAAATACTTTGTTTCATTCATGCGAATTTTATGTATAAATTTTTTAAAAAATTTTCAAACAAATACACGACATTCGATTTCTATTAATAGTTAAAATTAATAATTAAATGGTCAACAAATTTAAAGAATTAATAAATTCTCGTTAAACAATATAGTTATATTTAATATCTAAATTCTAAAATATATATTCATATATATATATATATATATATATTTTTTTTTTTTATTCGACTATTACTTACTTTCCAATTTTATCTACTTCATCTATTAGAACTAATGGATTTTCCGTTTTTGTCTTCTTCAAACACTGAATAATTTTTCCTGGCATTGCTCCTACATAAGTTCTTCTATGCCCTTTGATTTCAGCAACATCAGTCATACCGCCAACACTGAATCGAAAATATTCTCTGCTTAATGCTCGAGATATTGATTTGGCTATTGATGTCTTTCCAACTCCAGGAGGTCCATGGAAACAAAGAATCTTTCCTTGTGTAGATCCTTTTAATTGACTAACGGCAATAAATTCTAAATAAAAAAAAAAAAAAAAAGAATACATCAAACACAATATATATGTTAATAAAAGAGAAATGAAAAAGTATTAATAGTAATAGAATATTTAACATTTAATACTTAATGTTTCTAACCTAAAATTCTTTTTTTAATGTCCTCCATCCCGTAATGATCTTCATCAAGAATTGTGATTGCCTTTTGAATCTCTAAATTTTCAATACTCGTGATGCCCCATGGTATTGACGTTAACCAATCAAGATAATTTCTTGTTACACTAAAATATGAATTAAAATTTTATGTTTAGTTTTAAGCTTAAATAAAATGATATATTCTTTATGAATTTTAAGCAATGTAGTTATGTAAATGTAGTGATTAAATTTATTAAGAGGACAACTTACTTGAACTCGCTACTATGGCTTTCTAAAAAGCTTAATTTAGTCAATTCTTCATTTATTACTTCCATGACAGATTCAGGTACAACCTTACCCTTAATTCGCTCTCTATATTTTTCTTCGATTGCATCTTTATCCTCTTTTTCAAGTCCAAGTTCTTTTTTAATAATTTTCAATTGTTCGTGCAAAATGTATTTTCTATGCTGTTGTTTAACTTTTTCCTCAACTTCTCGACCTATTTTTTGTTGTAACTTACTCAATTCATATTCTTTTTTTAAAAGTGCTAAAGATAGTCTTAACCTTTTAGTAATCTATTGAGAAAATAAACAAAATTATGAAAAATAAAAACTATTTACTATAATGAAATAGATAAGAAAAAACTGACATCTATTTCTTCTAAAACTGCTTGCAATTCATGTCCATCAGCTCCAGTTAGAGCAGCTCCTAAATCACTTAAATATACTGGATTGTCGACAATCCTTTGGCCTTGATGGAGCATTTGTTGTAATGATTCACGATATAAAGAATTCATACTTATAATATCTCTGATTGTCTTTATCAATTCTTGAGTTAAAGCCTAAAATAATTAGAATTTCATACAATTTGTTGCTTTGGCAATATTGGCCTTTTGTTTAATTAAGGAAAAATACAGAAGCATTAAGGCAAAATTATTAAAATACTGACTAGATCTTTAATTGAATATACCTTTATTTCTTCCGTTTGTCTAAATTTTTCGTGCGTGACATTTACAACTTCAACCATTAGTAAAGGCTGTACTACAGATTCTTTCTGAGGATTCGATTCACTCTCTTCTTCAGTTGGTGCAATGACTGCAATACTTTTGTCAACAGAAGGTGCAGGCACTTCACTTTTCTCAGAACGATCAGCTTGTTTAATTTCTATTCTTTTTCTCCTTAATTCTCTACGATTTTTTTTCCCAACAGCCACTGTTTCGTCTACAGGAACGGTAATTGTTGTATTTAATAGAGGAAACTTCAATTTCATCTGTTTTGTCTCTATACAAAGATAGACCAATGCAAAATACAACAATTTTGCATAAATATATAATTGTTTCTATTTGTTTAAATAGACTGGTATTTTAATTTTAATTTGAAAGAAATGATTAAATAATAAAATTTAAATAATAAAAATATTATGCTCTTTCATATTTAATCCTTCTTTCTGACTCAATGTCAATATTACTTTAAATTAATCAAAAATATCGATTAAATTAAATAAAGAAAAACATGAATTAATTGAATAATGAGAAAAATATTATTTTACAAAATTTTACCAGGAGGCTTTACGCTTATATCTTCTATAATCTGTCCTACTATTTTAATTCTCCTATGTGCCATTACTACGAGTCTCATGCGATCTCCTAAATCTTGTACTTCATGTATTTGTGCAAAAGTTCCAACTGAATAAATGTCATTTAAATTATCCATAACATCCGACTCGTTTCTGTATAATAAAAATAACAATAAAATACAAGTAAATTTCAAATAACACTAATGTTATATCGTTGTACAGTAAACTTACTCTTCATTCTTTTTTAAAAAAATACCCACGTATGGCTGATTGAGTGAAATTTTGCGCTTTATTAAATCTATGAGAATGGCATTTGATAATTCTAATAATTTTATAAATCTTGGAAAAACTGGATTACGATTTATTGCTATTACTGGTACATTCGGCCATACTTCTGGTACAATTACAGTTGCTGGCAAAGCTGCTTGATAATCATCTGGTGGAACCCCAGTGTTATTGTCACTGTATTGTAAAAGAATAAAATATGTAATTAAATATTACTAACTTTTTATAATAATTTGTGATTTAATATTTAATAATAATATTTATAATAATATTTATAATAATATATTATAATATAATATAATATAATAAAATTTATTAAAAATTGTTAAATAAAATTTAATTTAATTTAATATCTCTTTTTATAATGTACTTATAAATTTCAATTAGAAAATAATAGAAACTAAATTTCATTGTAATCTTATGTATAGAATAGTAATAATGGTAATGAACTAATAAAATAAATTGTTGTATATATTTCATTTTATGGATGATAAATTAAAACTAACTTTTTTTTTTTTTTTTTTTTTTCTCCCAAGCTAAATTCGAAATTACCTAATTATCTCAAAAATACCTGAAACAAATACAATAATTTTATTTAAATTTAATTTCTCACAAAGGCCAATAATGTTTGGAACTATTTTCTAAGCCGGCGTTATGAATAATTAATAAATCCAAAGCTTCTTATAAGATAACAATATCGTGATGAAAAATTAGTAGGGGAGAGGCAAGAAGTATGGGAAATGATAGAAAATTCTGATTGAAAATTCTACTAACCCAGAATCCTTATCCGAAGGATTACGCGAAGAAAAAGTTCTAATAGTTATAGCGGCTACACTCTGTTTATATTCATGTAGATTTTTTCGTAGAAATCTTGAAAATGGCAATGTATTGTCTTCTGAAATTATCACTTGGCCAAAACCTGAGTGTTCGTTTAATCGTCGATTTTTGCAAAGCGACCTTGTAATTAATGTTCGATGCCTAAATACTGGCAATAATTTTGCATTTACAAAACTCATGATCACGCGCATTTCGCTTACAAGCTCACTTTATCCTTCTTTACCACTAATAACTCGTGTAAAAATTTTTTAAAACCGCTTTAAGGTTAAATTTATAAACGGGATGATGAAACTCCTTCCCTATCCAATGTTCGGGTCTTCTCGTCCGAACCACGTGACCATTTATATAAATAGTATGGTTATGCATATACTATAGTAAAAAAAAAGTGTACAATTCGTAGACAAGGAGAGCAACATATTGTACTGCCTGTATTTGAATTTGTTTTCGAAGGAATATTCGAATTTATTCAAAAGAAAATAAATTAAACGTGACAGTTAATGAATACATGTCTATTTTAAAGCGTTGAGTCGTCTAGTCGTCTGCCATTTTTTAACAATCGTTGTATTGAAAAAGTATTTAGGAAAACACCGGCAGTAAGAAAAATATTTGTATTTCTTTTTATTATAATAATATTAAAAGAATTATGTAACAAGTATTATTTTATTAGCGAATATTAATGAATATTTATTTTTTTTTTATCTAAGGCATAAGTTGATTTAAGCATTATGAATGTTTTTAGCGAATTTTTCAATATTCATTGTTGTATTTTTAGTTTAAAATGTCGAATGCTTCAGGAAGCCTTAATGATATGCGACAACGAATCGAAGCTGATAAAAGAAGTATTTTCGAGCAAACCCTCAATGACAATTCAACCAATACTACTAATTCAAGCAAAGAGCATAAAAAAATATCCGATGCTGTTTATACCTTAATATTTACCGATGAGGATGTCGACGACAGCGAAGAACTTTTCAATCAAATTTTGAAAAAAGCCGAAAAAGCTTATAAACAAGATAAAGAATTCAAGTAAATTTTAACTAGAAAATTATTAAATGTATCGATTGAATTTGTCTTAATGATAATCGTTTAAAAAAAAAAAAAGGAAAATCAATTATAACGCACCTTTATGTAAAAAATAATTCAATAAATAATTAAATGACAATTCACTTTATGTAAAATAAAAATTTTAAATAAATGAAAATATTTATTAATTTTAATTGAAGTAAAAGAATGCTTATTTTATTTAGGAAAAAAAATCCTCATCTAAAAAATATACTCGATAACTTTCAAATACCCTCGACAAAAGTAAGGCAAAGAAAATCTAAAGAAATCGAGGATTCCCTGAAAATTATAAATAATTTCAGAAGAAATTTAATTGAAACGGAAGTACCTAAAAAGACTTGTTCATATACCTCAATTATAAACGCTAAGAACAAGAAGAAAAAAACATCGGTAAAAAAAAGTCTTGCACCCGAAGAAAAAAATCCAAAATATAAAACTTATCCTGTATGGAAAACAACGGAAACGTATACTCCGATATTTCCCGCATCGACAACTCCCAGATGGACTGAAAATGAATTTTTACCAAAAGCTAATAAAATGTATACACCTCATCAGATCTACAATTGGGTAGAAACCACTGACTGCCAAATCAACGCTCCTCCATCGTCTGAGGAAAATGTCAGGTATTAATTTTTCTATAAATAATGTTTCTATAATAATAATACATATATAATATACAAATAATAAATGAGAGTTCATGAGTTATTGTTCTCGTATATTAACGATTAAAGAATATTAATGACAATCAAAAGTTTTATAATTGTTAATAACGAAAAAATAATGGCTTTTTCCTTTTTACGATAAAACGTCCAAGTTTGATATTATTATTATTTAACAGTTGGATAATTGCTTTCCTTCTACCAAATTACATTATTTCTTAATGCCATAGCTTTTGTTTTAATAGTAACAATGTACACATTTGAATCATATTTTAATAAAGTATTAATTTCGTATTCAATAGAACCAATGCTGCAACATGCAATTCAATAATTGATAATGAAACTTTTGCGACTCCTGCTAAAAGTGCAATAGATGGAATTACTTCAATACGTAGTACACTTGTTCAATTCAAACCATCGCCTCCGAGACGTTTGTCACATAGTAATTCTGAAAATTCAAGTATTTCTTCAAATTTTCCGTTCATAATGGAAAATGAAGAAAATGGATATGATCAGGACATCGATAATATCCATTTATCTTATGAAAAATATGACCATGCTGAAATGGACCAAGACCATCTTAATGAAAATTATACTGAAAATTTCATAAATAATCCTAAAGAGCAGAGTGATTATAAGGAAAATTTCGATAAAAGCTACCTTTTAAATAATAACAATGATACCGCTAATGAAACTAATGGCAGCTGTTCAAAAAGTTTCTCGAAGGAACCATTTTTCGAAGATTTCATACGTAATCTGAACAATAGTATAAGCAATAATTATAATATGGAGGTCAAATGTTCAATGAAATTCAAATTATTTCAATGATTTTTAACATCACTGTATAAAGTATCATATTATTTAGTAATATACAGTGGGTAATTTTAAAATAAAAATTTTTTACTCCAATACATTTTATAATTATAAAAAACTAATTATTTTAATTTATTATCATTTAGTTTAATCTATTGAATATTAAGTTTATTTTAAAAAATTATGTCAATAAAATTAAACCACCTATGTTATTTAATTGGGTATTGAGGATTTATTTTCCTTCACATGACACTCCGATGTACATTGACGTACTTCTATGTAAATGAAATCGAAGCCTTAAAATGTATAAATTATAATATTTAAAATACAAATCCTAAATAAACATAAAATAAATAAATAAAAATTCAAGGAAAGAAATACAATTTTATGATGCTTGCAATTTTTACCTTTAACGATCATATTCCATCATTCGTCAGCCTAAATCATCGAGAAGATCATCGGATATTTCATAAATGTATCCTCTTAGTGCCACCTGAAGGTCTACAGAAGAACTTGCAAACATCCAAGTTAAGGTTAGGTTTTTCCGTGTTCATCCCACTACAATTGACACTGTTGACTTAGTATATAAAGCATACCAAAGGGACCATTATTATTGCAATGTTTTAATATATTTGTTAAGACTCTCTGTATTTGGGTAGCTAATTGGATTGAACGTATTAAGAGAAAATCTAAGATAAACGTAACTTCACATTTATTATCAATCGAATAAGGATTAGGGAATATTAATTGTTTACCAAGTGACGTTTCTATACTCGCATTGCTCGTCTCTCTTTTATATCTTCAGGAACGAGATTTCTACGTTAAATAATCGGTTTTTCGATTTTTACGGATTGCGAAAGCGTAAGCGACACATCGATTTATTCTAATTTTAACAATTCTTACGAATTTGAAGAAAATTTATACCGAATGCAGGAAAGTCCTTACACTCTCTGCTATGGAAAGCAAGAGTTGCAACAATTTCATAAGTTACGTCGGCTTCGAGGAACATGAAATGCAGGTAAATAAACATTACTTATTGAATTATTTATATTAATTATATTTATTTTTCATCTTTCCGCAAATAATCACTTATCATTATAACATATTTCAAGACGACACGACTTTAGAGTTTATAAACTATATTATAAATAATGATCAGTATGAAGTATTTGTACGTGTGCTTTCAATCTCTGATTTTCAAAGATTAATAAAAGTATTATATTACTTTTTTAATACTTTCCTTCATTTATTTACGTTTTATTAAATAGAGCCGTACTTTTTGTAATACAAAATTTCCATAAAAGTTCAATAATAAATAATCTTATATCCTTGATATGTTATTGTTTATTTAAATTTTATTTCATCCTACTCTTATTGATGTAAATTTTATTTGTCATTTTAAAAATAATATATCAACAATTTCATCACTGCTATATAAATAATATAATTTTACAAGATAATTGCAATGATATTTAGAATTTTCAGTATATTGTTAAGTAAGATTTAAAAATTATCATAATTTAAACATTATCATAACACTCTAATGTATATCAAAAAAATATTTGTATTGATTATAGAACTTAGGTTCCAGCAGACGTAATTCAATAAATGAAAATAGTATTAAATTATTACCGGGGGAAGCTGTCGTTGCTAAAGGTCAAAATGTCCTTATGTTTGAACCAGTTAGTGAATCGAAACAAGGAATATCTGGAGTATTATCGATCACTAATTTCAAACTTACCTTCGTCACTGCGGATGATAATGGGGATGTAAGTAGGAGAGATTCTATTATAGCGTAATAAAATGAGTCGAGTAAGATTAAAATTTATATATATTTTTAAGATGTACGATTGGTGTCAATTATTCGCATTAACAATATAAAAATCATGTTTTCATATCATTAAAAACATATAGATAAATAAATTTATTTACATTTATTTATATTTATTTTTTATATTATTTACAGTTTACTATTTATTATTATGTATTATTATATTTTAAGCAAATGTATTTTTTATTATCTTTTTAAATTTATTTCAACTCATAACAAACAGCAGACATTATTTTGAATTAATTAAAATTGTTTCAGAGTAGTTTATAATTTTTATATGAAAATGAAATCTTTATAAATGTAAATCTCTAAATCTCAGTACAGCAGACAAAAATAATCTCTGTTTTATAAATTTTGAATTCTTTTTTGATATTTTGACATATTATTCTATACATAAATTAAATAATCGTACAAAATTTAAGGACATTTATCAACAAAATAATCTATACGGATACACGGATACGTGTTTATCGAATATCGACACTATATACTTGCTTATGGGGGACAAAAAAAGGAAACTTGTACCAGGAGCAGTGGTTCCATCGAAAGTGAAAGGAATATTCATTATATGTAAAGTTAGTAGGATATGTTATTTTAATTTCAAATGCTTTACTAATTATTACATTGAACAATAAATTTCTAACAAGCAGAACCTAAGGACATGGTCATTTTCTTTTAAATTTTCTCCAATTGGCGATGGAAAAAACGTGTTAAATGCTTTACTTCATCATGCCTTCCCCACCAAGCATCATCTATTATTTGCTTATGAATATAAGTAAGTGGATCTTAATTGAAACTGAAAGCCTTTTAGATTATTAAAATTAATTGTTTCTTAGGGAGCCATATTATAGTAGCGTAGATAAAGAAGTGCAGTTATTTCGTAATATTACCGATTGGCAGAATGAATTAGATCGCACGTACAGTAGAGGTATACATTTGAAAAATGGTTGGCGATTATCAACAGCAAACGTAGAGTTTCAAATTTGTCCTAGGTAATTTTAACTTGATCATTCTCAAAAGCTTTTGATTTGTTTGTATTTAATTGACCTGGAAAGCTCGTACGCATTAAATATTACTGAATATCTTATTCGTAACTTAATATTATAGCTTATCAGAATATATCATTGTTCCTGCATCAGTAACAGATAGTCAATTATTTAAAGTAGCTCAGCATTTCCAAGGTAGTCGTCCACCAGTTTGGTCTTGGTCAAATGAACAAGGTGCTGCATTAGTGAAAATGTCCGAACTTTGTCCAAGTATCACCGAAAGAACTCAAGAAAATATTATGTTAGAAAATATTCGTAAGAATCATCCACGAAAAATACAGCCTGTAATTATTGAACTGAACAAAGATATTAGCATAAAGGCTGTGGCATCGAGTTTTTCTAAATTCGTCCACTTATGTTCTCCAGGTAGTTAATTCAGTATTATAGCATTTATTGCGTAAAAGATAGATAATGTTAATACATAATTATAATGACATTTTTAGAAAGCGTTAGACAATTTTTAATGCAAGAAAATAATTTTTATTCTTTATTGGAGAGTACGAAATGGTTGAAGTACGTATCATATTGTTTGCAAAAAGCTGTAGAAGCCAGTGAGCAATTAAACAACGGAGTTCCAGTTATATTACAAGGTATAATAAATCATTTATTGTTAAAGTTTATGATTTAATTTAATTATAACAATTTATTATCAATTTCTAATTAATAATTAATAATTAATTGCTAATTAATACAGAAGGCGCCGGTAGAGATGTCTGTTGTATCATTTCAAGTTTAGTTCAATTATTATCGGATCCATATTTCCGAACAATAACAGGATTTCAGAGCTTATTACAAAAAGAATGGGTGGCCGCTGGTCATCCTTTTTGTGATCGTCTTGGCCATCTGAAAAATGATGGCTCGAAAAAAGTAATTTATTTACAATAATCTTATAAGAAAAGCATTATTTATTATAGTAATTGAGAGTATGTATAATATAATGATTTATTTGTATATAATTTAGTCTCCGTTATTTTTGCTGTATTTGGACTGCGTTTGGCAACTTTGTCAACAATTTCCAGCCGAATTCGAATTTACAGAAACGTATTTAACGACATTGTGGGACACGGCGCATATTTCAATTTTTGAAACCTTTATATTTAATTGTGAAAGAGATCGTATTAAAGCAGCTACAGTAAGTACTTGAAATAAACGAAAATCATAAAACAAAATAAGCATTAAATTTTATATAAATTTTTTATGTTTTGTTAAACAGAATATTGTTATTAAAATTAGGCTATTATTAATGTTTGCGATTTAACGTGCTATTGTTACATTTGTAATATATGTAGTCTTAGCATCGTAGTATTGTAATTTTTAATTTCAATATTATTATCACGTTATTTCTAATATATTTTTTTTTTAATAATTATGTTGTCGTGTATTAATGAACGTGTATCAGACAGTAATTTCTTCAACGATTATAATCATCCTTCGTAGCAATCTTAATTAGAATGAAAAGATATAGAATGAAATAGTCGTATGAAAGTTTTGATGCACTAGGTTAGCTATTTTCATAATTAATGATTCGCATAATAATCGTGCATAATAGAAATTCGACATTGACAGATTTTTAAAATAATACCAAAACGTACTTACGAAATATCAATTTATCCAATGATACGCTTACGAAAAATACAAAAATTGAAATCAATTTACAGGATCCAAATACTCGTTTGGTGCTACGTAGTGTGTGGGACTGGAGGGAACAATTCAATGAGCAGGACATCCTACTGTTCCACAATCCCCTCTTTAATCATCCAGGATCATCGAGCCCCTCGTACGCAAAAGGCAAGTCAGCCTTCCTCAAACCCTTGTATAAAATATCCTGCTTGGAGATTTGGTCGCAATGCTACTTTCGCTGGATTCCCCATCTGGTCATCAACAACGGCGGTCATAATCAAATTGAAATGTATGCAAGACTTCTGCAGAATGACGTCGCTCAACTCCAGATGGACATCAATGGAGGGGGCGGTATCTCCTCGTCGCCCATCGACAAAATGTCAACTTACCTTCTGCAAATGAACATTAATAGCTTCTATCCGTTCAGTAACAAGAAATCGGGAAATACAGTCAGTACGCCCATCATCAACACGTCATTCATAATGAGCGAGAGTATGATCGACGCAGAAAGTCTATTGACGGCCCCTGACTGATTGCCGTAACGGAAGCTCAAAATGGAATAACTTTTTTTTTTCTATTCGTCGACTCTCCTTCTCGTTTCTGTTCCAGCAATTTTTGGCAGTGGTCATGTAAGTGGTCGAAACGTAGTGAATATAAAAATTCTTCACGAAAATGATACTGTTAAGCATCTCGTTAAAAACTGAACATAAGTAGTTTCGTCAACTACTTTCTAAGCTAATGACATTATTATTATGTCATCAAATACAATTTATAAGTTTAATTAACGGAGACGTTATTAGAAGCTCGTTAAATACAGCTGAGATAGGATTTTTCTCTATTATTCTAAAAAAAAACTCATTTAACGTGTAAATAATTTTCAAAAGTAAAAGATTTGCCTTCTTCGGTAATGTGTTCAGAAAAAAAGAAAAAAAAAGAAATGATTGTGCGCGCGTACGTGCATACATCATAAAAGGCATAAATAACAAATCTAGTGCTAAATATTAATTTTTATTCAATAGAAAGTCTACCGTAAGGTACTATTTATAAAAGTTAAACATCTCTGTTATCTTTGCTCTTTAAGAAGATATAATGTTTTAAAATTGTAATATTTAAGTCATCGCTATGTCAATTTTTATAAATTAATGAGGAGTAAAATCACTCGATTAGTAAGATCAATTAGTAAGTGTAGCTAATTTAAAGAAAAGTTACTAAATTTCTTAATTATTTTACTAATGATAATAATAAAAATAAATTTTACTTTATCTGCATTGATGTATTTGTTTGATGAAAATTAATGGGAACGTACGGATAAATATCTATGCGTTGAAAATGGAAACTATATTTATTGAATGTATATAAAAGTAAATATAAAAAGCAAAAATACGAAAGAACATGTTTTTGTTGTTTTGAAATGTTATCGACAACTTTCCGAGCTTTCGTTTATATTTTTATTTGAATTTGAGTTCTAAATTAGTTGGAAGTGAACCAAAAAAAAAAAATTTTTTTTATTTAAAACATGTAAACGAGTAAACGATGCCGTCAAAGAAATCAAACAGATAAGGTGCAAAGGCAACTGCCAACAGACATTTGCCACCTGTTCAATTATGCCATACCTTATTTCGTATTATTATTATGATTAAATGTTAATCATCGATCGAAATAATTGATAAAGACATCGATTGAAATAATTCGTTAAGACATTGATTGAAGGGGATAGAAAATTGACTTTCTACCTTTGTTTAAATAAGGCTTTGATTGAAAGTTCTGACTCGGAGGATAAATTTATATTACGTGTAACGAGATGAAATGACATTTTTTGCACACTTTACATATAAATCAGTATAAGTTATATAATAATGAGCACTAAAAACATTTAATCAATGTCAATTTGTATATGAATATAAAATTTCCTATACAATTTTATGTCCCATTTTGATGAATCAATAGTATGAATAATTTTGCAGTTAATTTTCATTGATCTAGAGAGATTTTTAAATGCAATCAATATTGCTACTTAATTCATATTACATTTTACTACAATGTATTCATTTTGAAAAGTTCTTTTATGATATTTTACTTTACTACCTTTATAATACTGGAAATTGATATGAAAATACTTTGATAATTACTCGCAAAAATTTAAGTTTTATTATATTTTGATTAGAACTTGAGATTTAGTCGCTTAATAAGATTTTCATAATTAAATTTTAAAATATTATTTTTTGTATATTTGAAATATTAATGGCGTAGTTTATTTATTTAAATTATATAAAATAAAATATTTACAAAAATTAAGTAAAGTAAAAAGATTTTTTATTTATTATATAAGTTGTCCGTAAGAATGTCTATTTGAATAATTGCTCAAACAGTTAATCGTTGAATGTTGATGAAATTGTTTCAAGATCTTATATAAATATAGCGTGTTAGTAATTCTTTTCCACTCTAGAAAAGTAAATTTGAAATAAAATTAAAAATAAGATTTTAAACTCGACTTATTATATACACAAGCCAATAAATTCTAATAAAAAAAATTTGTGACCACCAGATTCATTGTATATAGGAATGGTTTTCTAATATATTGCTTTTCAAACTTATAATATATCTAAAACCAAGTGAATTTTCAATTATGTACACAATATGCTTTAATAATAGTAGTAACATAATTTGTGAGCCATGTACATATTAATGCAATTGCTTATTTATGTTTGCCTTCGAACAAACGAGTTGCGGTTATTATAGTGCATTTTTATAAATATAAGTTTTTGGCGTTTTGAGATTTAGTGTGAAACGACAATTGTTTATGTATAACTAACGCCGTTCGATATTCTTACCTAATATATAAATATATATATATATGTATGTATGTATGTATGTATGTATGTATGTATGTATGTATGTATGTATATTGTTAAGACATCCTTATAATTTATTTGTATTTATTTTTAATGAGAGCTTATAGAATAGTAATGAAAGTTCAAATAGTGTTGAAATTGAAAAAAATATAATTTTGCCAACTATTTTTTTAAAATAATAAATAAATTTTTGAAACTATTAATCAATTTTTCTGTGTCTTTAATTTAATATATTATGTATTATTCAATTCTGTAATGTCGGAACAAATTGTACTAAATTCAATATTTAGAATTTTCATAATAATGAAGTATTTTTATGTAGTTAATTCAATATTTACTAATGATTTGACTAATAATTCATTTTTCTAATCGTTTGTTTCTTTATTTTCTTAATAATGAAAAAGCTGATTTAATTTTACAAATTCGAATTAAAACATTTTCAATTTTTTTTTTTTATCCTGATATTTTCTTTGATTAAATGGAATTTAATTTAATTCTTCGTAATTTACATGTTAAAATTGTGTAATCAATATTCAGAATATATTAAATAAAAATAAATGATATATAACGATTAAACGATAAAAATTTTCGACGATAAATAATATTCTATTAAACTTTAATCTGAATGGTTACTGTATTAAATCAATTTCAAATAGAAATTTCCAATTTTATTTCCAATTTTTGTAATTTCATTGAAACATTTTATACTAATATTACCCAGGAGAAGAAATACATATATAATAATTGATAGATTAAAATAATATTATGAAGTTATTGGTGTAAAAGTTTCTCTCATGCACTTTGATATAATCAAAAGATATATGTTTCGGTAAATTATAAATAAAGTATTTTATAAATCTTCATTATAATTTAATAAGATAAAAAAAAGGTATTAGAAAATTTTTAAAAAATATCTTAGAAAAATATATATGAAATTAAACGTAGAAAAAAAAAATAATGAGACAATTTACATTATCAAAATTTAATTTTAACGAAAAATTTAAACAAAAAACTATGCAAAACATACGTTAAAAAAGAATTTGATACAGAAAGCATAAAATATTGGAATATACTATATAAATGGTATAAAGTACAGTATGCATATTTATATATAATACAAGTAAGGCTTGGTGAGGGGCACAAGACATTATTCAGCCAAATTTTAGAAAAATAATGAGCTCGTAAATTCACAAAGAATAATAAAATAATAAAAACGGTGTTATTGAATAAATTCGTTGTTTTATAATGAATTTAATCGAAAAGCTCGCGTGTATAATAAAAATATACAAATAGGAAGTAAAAATTTGGAATTATTATTAGATTTCGTATTAAATAAGTAATTAGAAACCACTCGATGACAAAATAATTATTGATGTTAAGTTATAGGAAATAAAATTTACCAAATAAAGCGTAAAAATACAAACGGTATAAATATAAATAGAGAAAATAAAATTCCCAATTACTTCGCAGCTGTAATTTCTAAGGATTTGTGAAATATTAAGCCATAAGCGAAATTATTTTAAAACGAATTAAGAGAATAAAAAGGAGATAACAACTATGACGATAATGACGATAAAAACTTATATTTAAAACCTAATTTGTGATTTTGTACATCCCATGAACACGAATGCAACAGATATAAACAAAATCAAAACTATTGCTGGAAAATATATATGCCTATCAAGGATGTAATCAATTTGAAAAGTGCATTAGTATATGTGGATTAAATCATGAATAAATACGATTATGCATGCACACGAACGCAATGTGCGCGCACACGGAGTGCGCCACCATTTATAGAGTGCGGTTATAAATTAATTTCACTTTCTAAATGCGAATAACTTCCCAACGATTCGACCTATGAGATTTCCAAGTCTTTTAGGATACGATCGCACGAGCTTCTCTTTATACTACATTTAAAATCTGCAGAGAAGATGAGTGCAGCAAAGCAGAATGCTGCATAAATTCTTCCTAACTTTTAATGCTCGCGTATGTACGCTAATAAATCAGTTGCACTTGTCTATTAATAAATTAATCAGAACTGCATGAATTAAAGACGGTATTTAGAAAACATTCTTATATGTGAATATAAATTAGGTAGCAACTAATTCTCGATATATGGCGCGAGCAACGCGTGCCTTATTCTTCAAACGCGGAAGTCATTACTAGAAGCGTTGTCTCCTCGCTCTTCTCGTGGACAGGAAAGTACGAGTAACTTTCTTTACGAGACGAGCTCAAATTAAGCTTGCGGAAATGAATAGTCGACTATTTTCAATTTCGATTGCTGCCTCCGTGTATTGCTGGATATATTTGTCGATTTCACTCGTGTTAAATGCAGCCCGACGTTGGAGTGAAGGCCGCGTTTGAAAAGAAATAGTACGAGAGTCTGTATATTCGTAATCAGGGATCAACGGTTTCAGAGTGTGTGAAAATTGAAGATGAGTGAGACGAAGGAACTTAGTGTCCTCGAGGAAAGTGTCGGATAACGAACGATTTTCACATTCCATTGGATGGTATTTCCCCATCAACTGATCATAGAAAATAAAAATTATTACTAATGTCCTGATGATTCGCTATTAGCGAATGATTGAAAATAATCGGATAATTCATTAATACGAAAGCTGTTGATTTCTTAGATCGAGATACATAAGGATAGGTATTGCTTGATGTAACTTACATTTGCATTTAAATCCTTTTTAATGTAATGGAATTACACGCTTCGATCACATGCAATTGGATTT